GGTGGTTCACACACACACACACACTGACTGATCATATCTTTAACACTCACTACAGTCTCATTGCATTTGTTCCTTTTCTTTTCACAAGTTCACCCCTCTTTCCTCGAAGTCCTCCGGCAATGCGTCAAGGGAGCTTCTCCAACGACTTGGTGCCTTTTTGACAGCAGATCGTTATCAAAACAGAAATTGCTGGAGTGCATCAGGCAGTTTGTCTAGTCCTTGAAACTTAAAAATAGACCTACAATGGAAAAAACCCAACAATGTCACACCTAATTACCTGTCCGTCGCACTCACTAACCTAAAAACAACAGTCAGCAGAAAAGCTGCCGGATATCGCCAAACATCCAAAGGCTCAGGAACATGACCTTCAGTTTCCCAAGCTCCCATTCCGGGAGGAGCCTGAACGAGCCCGACCCTCCTCCTCAAGACTTGGAGCCCAGCCTCTGGGCAGAAGTCGGGCTCGAATGCACAGCATTCCAAGTTCATTCCCAGCCATTCCCCTTGCAGTCTCCAAACTTTGCTTAAGCAAACCCCACGCTTTCAAAGGCAGGCAGCGCTCATAGTGCGCGCCTGAAGCGCCGCAGGCAAGCGCAACCTGGCTGCGTTCACTGACAGCTACACAACTGCACAAATGCTTATACCGTTCACTCTGCTGTCTCCCGCCTGGCCATCAGTGGGACGGAAGCCCGAGAGGCAATCCAGGAAAAGCATTTCGCCAGGCAAAGCCTTGGATGTTTTTCCCATTTCCCCGTGCTGTGCCAGAGCGTTGCAGCAAGACAGGACTCATGTGTTGAGCTCACTTTCTGGTTTCCAAGCTTGCATCGGTCGGTGGAGCATTAGATTAAGCTCGCGCTTGGATGTTTAATCTCCATAGCTTTATCCTAGCTTCCTCTCGTGATAGCGCACACGAATCTCCAAGGAAAAGGCTCGCGGAGGAAAATCGCGGGCGTAGGAGTTCAGTAGAGAACCTGGTCAGGCGAAATGATGTCTGCGTGAAGAAGAATTGCACGGCTGCAACAGCTGCAATTGCTACAATGCTGCATTGCATAGTCGGGCTGGCTCACTTCGGAAGTCATCTTTACCTACCTTCGGAGACCTGGTCGGACGGTTTCCATCCTTTTGTCTCCCTCCCGCGGCACTTGGGTGACTCGATCCAACCTGCCCCCAATTGTGATGACTTTCCAAACTCTGAAACCTACATTCAGCAAACGAGGAGGAGGTGGTTGCTTTGTGTCACTAGTGAAGATCGGTGCAGGGTAATGAAGGTCCATCATTGCCGTTGCAGAGCCCACAGAACAGGTGACAAGCCGGCTCGTTTGTTGTGATGAAGGACTCAAGCAAAGACAGGCTGCGCAGTGACGAAGGGAAGCCTGGAAAACGAAGGAAACCAAAACCAGCGAATCCTGTCGGGTTCCAGCATTGTCCCTGATGCACCCAGAAACTACTTCCGACTGATGTCAGACCGATTGATTGATTGATCGATGCTGACTGATTCTTTGATCGCTTTCCCCTGTGCATTTTGCAAATGAAGCCTCTGCGCCACCAAAATTGCATTGTGACATCAGGAGATAACAAACCGCATGGGGTGAATTCCTCATCAGTAAACAGTACATGATCTATGCTTCCTGCATGGCACTAAGCCTTAACGTCTGCTCCAACGTCCAGCCTTCCTGTAGTGGCTGGCAGAGCACCACGGGGCAGTGGGGCCGCTCCAGGGTCAGCTGCCGCGCATCTCACGAAAAGAAGGGGATAATCAAGAGGAGAACAAAGGCATTCTTGCACGACTTTCTTGTCGCGACCTGAGTCCTCCAAGAGCCGGTCGAAGAGCACGAACAACGTTCGCCAGCCTCTTCACACATGCTTCAAGTCTGTGACATTCTTTCTTGCCAGGAACCTTTAAAAATTGAGGGTAAGCAGGGAAAGCACTTTCTTTGCGTAATGTGCACAACTTGTACTTCATCCCTGCTTGTCAGCAGAAGCGGTAGCCTTGCCTTCATTTGCAACGTGTTCACTGAACTCGGTCGAGTCGAAAGGCCAGCCCATCACGATCTGGAACTCCAGATCCTAAGTGCTGCCCCAGATTCCCCAGATCGTAGCATCTCAGAGGTCTTGACTTCCACGTCTTTTACGCCACGCATCCGGCAGAGTCATGTTCTGCGGTGGTGTTACCGTGATCCAGCCCTGGCGTGCTTCCCCCCAGACTTTCTCCCACTGAAGCGGGCTTCGCACGCCAGGTCACGCTAGCAACACAACAAATCGTGAGCCTGGTCTCGAGCCATGCTGAGAATGGATCTCCACTCCTGCCACTACCACTTCAGAGACAGACATGAACTGAACGAGGCAAAGACTCTCCTGCAATGCATTCTTCTCATCGTCAACGTGCATAGCCTTGGAAAGCACAACCAAAACACCAAAGCAAAAAAAAATGTCTTTGAGGCCTTTCCCTCTGGCCTCCTGCTGGCTTGCATTGCTCCCGGTCCGCTCCTTGAAGGTTTCAGGCTCTGTGATACAAGCTAGGCACCAATGCCGCCTCTGGGGTGAAATTCTCGGAATCGTAGGAGATGTCTCAGCATGCTCCACACATCCACAGAATCCAGAGATCATGGGACATCCCTGAGGTAGTGGCTCTCCGAAGTCTCATTGCCACTGGCCTTTGAGATCCAAAAAACAATCCTCAAAACACAAATCCAAAACCCTACAAAACCCAAATCAGCCTCGGAGGTGTAGGTCTCGTTCTCATCCCACCCAGCTTCCACGCCTTCGACGCCTTTTGCATTCGTCCCATTCGTCGCATTCGCGCCCCATTCCATGGCCGAGGCCAATTTTACAAGGACGTTCCTTGGCTCAGGACAAGGGCACCGCTCCTTTCACAGCATCCAGAAATCCTAGAAGTCGGGACAAGGGTCGTCCCATTCAGCCATAGGCGAGTCGCTCTGCCTGGGACAAAAGCATATTATGCACACGTGCTACAACACTCCAGGGGTCTTCCCTCCTTGGCTATTGTTTCGAGGCAGTCAACGAGATTTGTTATAGTACAGCCGGTCAGAGTTTCAAGACGACGTTTTTGGCATGTTTATCTTTTGCCGTGGATAGCTGTGCATCCACAGGATTTTCGAGGATAGCTCAGACAATCCGCTAGCTGACAGTTTGCTGGAGTGGGATCACTCCATGAGATGTGGAATGAATCAAATTCAATCAATTTCGCCGTTCAAGTCGTAGAAGGCAAGCAGGAAAAACAGACAACATAAACAGGCCTAGGCTGGAGTGGCTGTTTTCAAGGCGCTGTCTGCGCTTGCCAACTACAGTACTTGTTGCATCTTCATACTCTGCGAGAGCTCTGTAAAAGTTGCTGTAAATGGATTTCTCGATGCTCCGTTGCTACATTCAAACTACAAAACTCACGCTTGAATCAGAGGCATGTAATACATCGACGGAGACCCTCAAGCGCTTGAGGCAAAAGAGTGCATGGTAGCTGCGAAGGCTAGGAGCCACTCGCACAACAGCCCCCCCTCCCGCCCCGCCCGGCCGATTGTGTTCGGAGATTCGGAGCAAAGCACAGCCTTGCAACCGATAATCCACATGAACCTCAGCACAAGTATCACCAAGCAGGAACCAGAAACCAAACTTCACCCAGAAAGCCTGTAAATTTGATAGATCAAGAGCTTCCAAAAACAGCTCATTGATCGCCGGTTGAACAGAGCGAACCCAGCCATCATGTGAGCGGCGCACGAAAGGTTCTCGTTTGGGCAAGGAGCGCTATTTCCTTATTCCGGCCCCTGATCTCGCTACCTAAAAAATACTCATAAATGCTATGGTTCGCTTTTTCTGAATTTAGGGGAATCTCGCTTAACTGTAGGACGCATGAGTTCAAATAATAATTCACTCAATGAAATACCTGGATCTCGCTTGTTACTCCGGCCCCGAGAATGGCTGCTCCCGATAAAAAAATACCGACCTCCGTAACCTTGGCTCTCTTGACGGAACTTTAGGTCGTCGCTCATGTGAAAACCAGCCCACGCCCAGCCCTGCTGAATCAGCATCAGTGATTCTCCTGATCGGGAGAAGTGTACGGATGGCCTTTTTAGGTTTGGAAGGTCATGTTCTCTTTAGTTCAACTGAAGATGACCCAAGAATGTGGTGATGATGCTCATGTATGGGGCGCGCGCCGGCCCCGTACATCAGCATCATCAGCACAATTGGGACCTCCTGTTGGGCTTAATTGGGACCAGGAGGAATCAAAGACCTGAGAAAACCACCAAGAACGGCTTTGAACATGGTTCTCTGAGCTGGCTGACCATGCTGGGGCCCATGCAATGTGCTTTTGCATTTCAGAGGCACCCAGTTAAAAAGGGTGCAAAATCCTAGCATTGGAGCCGCAAAAACACCTGGATATATGCTGCAGAAACCCACTCAACATGCACAATTTAGACGGTTGGCCTGGGCAATGCACGCAAAGCCTTTCGTATGCTTGTCATGCAGCGCAGGTGCTACGAACACTGTTATTTACGGTCACAGATCCTGCCGCCCACAGCACGTATTTTGCGCGTTTTGCTAGGGTTTACAGCACTCTTTGAGGCCCCCAAGAGGCCAGCATCATGAGCATCATGGGGCTTATCTGGGCCAGCCTAAAGAGCATCCAAAAATGAGTTTTGACCCCCAAAGCCCATTTCCTGACAGGGGTCGGCGCCTCTATCGGCGTGCATCCGCACTGGACCATGGCCAGGCCGCAGAGCGACAATGGCGCCGGTGCCGCTGATCCCCCCCCCCCAAAGACACCCCAAAATGAGCATTGAGCATGATGGGCCCGGACCGTTTTGAAAACCGCCCGACTCGCGTTTCAGAAGAACTTGGCACGAACCCTGTGCTCGAGGTTAGAGAAGTTTGGCCATGAAACTGCAATAGGCGCAGCCCCCCTACTAAATCTGCGAGAATTTAAGTTTGAAGCGGGCGCGGCATCACGAAGACCAAGGCCTCTGGCTTGAAGCTGTCTCAGCAAGATTTACAGCTCTAGCCACTTGACTGTGAAGCTTCTGAAAGGTAGGGCATGCTCCAGAAGAGATTGCGTGCAGAACGACCTTTGCTTTGGAAGCGAAGGTCGTCACACACTGCCCACAGTGCCTACGTGAGGCGGGGAGGCGGGCTGCGGCTTGCAATGATGGGAAAAATCTGCTAGCCTATTCTCAGAGACGGAACTATGTTGAGGACGAAAGGGGGGACAAGGGTCCATGGAGGAGCAGGTGACAACAAGAGCTGAAATAGCAGCGACGCCAAGGACCTGAATGACATGATTGAAGCAAAAAAGCAGAAGCACAAAGGTTTGCGAGAAGCTCAAGCAGCAAGGTTTTGTTGCGACCTCAAATCTGCACATCCTCCATCCTACATCCTACATTGCGACCTTGTGGGGGCATACTTTTGCTCACTGCGCACTTGGCCAAGGTCTTGCGGTCGGACGCTGCTGCAACGGGAAGCATTGTAAAGCGACTGCTTGACCATCGCCTCCATCATCCCAAGCATAAGTGATGTGCAACCACCTCAGCTGAAATCAGCCCCGGGATGGCCGATGCTGCTGGGCCTTTGCTGCGAAGCCACTCGCCAGTCTGCAGTCCTAGCCTGGGCAAGTCCACGGAGTAGCCGCCTACGCCCTGCCATCACGGATAGCTTGCCAAAATGCGCGAATCAAAAAAATGTTCGCCAACCCTGCCTCTGACAGCTGGACCTGCAACATGCCTCCGATCACGACCTAACTGAATGATAATGCCATTTGCTACCCCACGAATTGCCCTTGAGCATCTCACCATGTGAGGGCTCTCGAGACAGCGTTGAAGGTCTTCTTCTTCACCATGGCCTACCAGCCGCAAATCTCTATCAGGAATCGTCTTATGTCCCAATACCTGCTTGCTGGACATCATGGGTGCCGTTGCTGAAGTTCAGGTCCTGTGACCACAAGATGTCGTTTCATAACAAATGCTGCATGCAGCACGCCGGATCCGGCGCTCCTTTTTTTGACCCATCCCCAAATCTTGAGATGTGAATGATGTGACTTGTGAGCTATGATGTCATAACGTGTACTGGCTGCCGCACAAGCACATGAATGCTGTCTATACCTGGCTACAATCTGCCAAGGCCCCCGGCCTCTGGCATTTGGGGAAGGCACTCAGGTATTGCACAAGGCTGTTTCGGGACATTACATTCAAGAAGGTCGTTCAAAACTCTAACCAGCCCCCTTTGCCAAAGGAACTGTGCAGGTGCAGGGGATATTGTATATATATGCTAAGTTAAGATTATGTAAGGATACTTTTAAAGTTTTTTTTAAGAATATGATGGCACTAGGAAGGGACAAGTTGATTTGAGGTTGTCTTGTTCCAGGCTGATATACAGGCGAACCGGCCGGGCGGCGAGTTAGTCTAGGCTGTCCTGCAGAACACGCAAGCGTGGCTGTATATACTTGGTGCAAATTCAACTGCAACACAAAACAGGAAACGATTCATTTACGAGATGCACTGACATCCACATTGACTTGAAACTCTTCATGAGACCAATTGAGATCCTCACAGGAAGTAGCGTAGGCAGAGACACTCCAAGGCAAACAGGCACTTCAGCCACAATGCCAAATAGTCGTTGGTGCTACGTCGAACGAACTGAGAAACCACGTAACGCAGATTGCAATCTGAGATTTTAGTGCTTGTGCCCTGGGGCCTGGGTCTTGACCATCAAGGCCTTTCTTGAACTGGCCCTTCCTGTAATCACCTTTTTTGTGATTTGCCCTTGCCGGCGTCCTCGATCAGTCCCTTGGTTTTCCCTCTCACTTTGGCTTAAGCCTTACCATGTACTCTGTCACGGCGCGGGCACGTTTTCATTAGGATGTGCCTTCTTAGCTTTCTACGCAGGGCAAAGATGATGTTTCTCCTTGAGCCACCTGATGCACATACCCGATGAAGTAAGTCATGGGCCCTTTTGCAATGAATGTCTTGTCCTTGACCATGGATCAGCAGAACTGACGGAGGCTTATGGCTGCCAAGGTTGTTTCGCTCACGCGCAGGCCAGAATGACCTTGTCGATGGCCACGGCATCTCCGAGCTGAATCTCGTATCGAAACATTTGTTTGAAGCCCGGTGGCTCCTGCATGGGCTTGCCTTTTTCCATCCGTGGCCCCGTGGTGTTTTGCCTGTGGTCCCTGTCGTGTTTTGGGTTTGGGGGTGTGGCAGGTCGAACGGGCTCTAAAACCCTCACAACACTCGCCCTGCTACAGTTGCGCATGTAACATATGGATGATTGAGAAACCTGCTACAAAAACAACAGCAAAAGCTGCAATTTTCGCATTGGGCTTCCAGGCCTCCAAGTTGGGCCGGTTCTTCTACGTCTTGGGGTTGGCCCTTTGAATTGGGCTTACTTTGGGTAGCATACTACAGCAAGGGGAGCCCATGGAGCCGAATGGGGGTTCTAAAGCACAAATCTGTGAAAACACACTCCAAGTTTGCTAGTCTGAAAGCAACTTCGAGCCGATGGCTACCAACTCTGCTTTCTCTCCAGAAGGCAGCGGCGTGGTCTCACACCAGGCGTCGGAGCAACTGCAAAAGTCGAGGACTGCTGAGACTGCTTTGCAGTCACAGACTCTCACATGGCAACACCATGCGATGACCCAACCCCACAAAAAAAACCTGCACTCTCACTGACAGCTGCCTACAGCCAGGCCATCTTGTGGCCACAGCACGCGGAGCCACCCGCACAGTGCCAAGCGGAGCAACCCGCAACACGGCGCCGCCCGCAACTTGTCAGAGCCACCCTCTCATGCGGAGCTACCCGCAAAGAACTGTG